CACACACACACACACACACACACACACACACACACACACACATAAAGAGACGTACAGACGTGATGTCAGACTAAAGCTCTTTAGCACCAGAGGAGAGAGGAGAGTGTGTGTGTGTGTGTGTGTCAGTCAGTGTCGCTGGTGTCGCTGCTGGGGTCTCCCTGCACCTTGTTGCGGTGCTGCATGGCCCGGTGGTACGCCACCTGCACGGACTTCCTGATGTTGGACTTCCTGCCCTCCAGCATCTTCTCCTTATCCAGATCCTGATTCACCCCCAGAGGAACCAGCTTAGAGCGCGGCAGCCACTGCCTGTGGAGCGCACACACACACACACACACACGATCAGAGACTACCACACACACCAGGTGGAGGTGCTTTAATGAGTGGCAGCAGTGTAACGTAAACACCAGCGGCTGATCCGAGTTCTCACTGCATAAGAGAGGACCACTGAGTCCCCACAAGTATAGCTACACCTGTTCACACACACACACACACAGACACATCTTATACACAGAGATACACATTCACACACAGACTCACACACTAATACACACAGAAACAAAAATATGCGCTCACACACACACACACCCTGACAAATACATATGCACACACACTTTCTAATACACACACACACTCAAACAAACACATGCACACACTCAAACAGAATACACACACTAAAACATGCACATGCACACACACACACACACACACACACACACACACACACACACACACACACAAACCAAAACAAGCACACGCTGAGATACACACACTCATAAATGCACTCAAACACACACACACACACACACACACACACTCAGACAAAAAAAGACATGCACACAGATGCGCAGATACATACACTCAAAACACACACACACATTCGCAAACACACTATAACAGATGCACACACACGCACTGAAATACACATGCAGACTCAGACATGCACATATGCACAGACAAGCACACACTCACACACACACCCACCCTCAAACACACACAAACACACACTAAATCAAGCACAAACTGATACTACACACAGTCATGCATGCACTCAAACACACACACACACAAATACTCTCTCACACACACTAACACACACTGAGATACACACTCATGCAAGCACTCACAAACACACACACACAGACACACACTCACAAACTTACACACACTCTCAAACAAAGTCACACACACACACACACACTCAAACAAAAAGATGCACACTCAAACACACACGTTCAGCTGTCGTCAGTGCTCTGCTGTTGTTTCCTCTGTGCTAGTTTCTCCGTGTTCACAGGATGTTCAGAATCGCTGATGGATCAGGTCAGACTGCAGCGAGCAAACGCTGAGAACAGTTTCATCATCTCACACACACACACACCAAAATATGATAAACACTCACTGGCCACATTATTAGGTACACCGGTCCAACTGCTCGTTAACACAAATTTCTAATCATCCAATCACATGGCAGTAACTCAATGCCCACTAGTACCAATTGAGCATCAACGCCACAGCCTACCTGAGTATTGCTGCTGACCATGTCCATCCCTTTATGAGCACAGTGTCTCCATCTTCTGATGGCTACTTCCAGCAGGATAACGCAGCATGTCATAAAGCTCAATCATCTCAGACTGGTGTCTTGAACATGACGATGAGTTCACTGTACTCAAATGGCCTCCACAGTCACCAGAGCTCAATCCAATAGAGCAGCTTTGGGATGTGGTGGAACGGGAGATTGGCATCATGGATGTGCAGCCGACAAATCTGCAGCAACTGTGTGATGCTATCATGACAATATGGAGCAAAATCTCTGAGGAATATTTCCAGTAGCTTGTTGAATCTCTGACACCGAGGATTAAGGCAGATCTGAAGGCAAAAGGGGCTAACCCGGTACATGTGAGGTGTACCTAATAAAGTGTCCAGTGAGTGTAGTTCAAGAGTGATGTTTTGTCCCCAAATATCAGCGTGGGAGTCATAATTCTGTGATATTTCAGACATAACATAGAGCAGGGGTCCCCAAACTTGTTCCTGGAGGGCCGGTGTCCTGCAGATTTGAGCTCCAACACTGATCAAACACACCTGATCAAGCTGATCAAGGTATACTTGAAACACATTTCATTTCAGTGTGATGATCCATTTCCAACTCAAACTGAATATTGAGTAGGGGGTGGGGTTTATTGTGGAGCTCCGCCTCTGCTCCTTCACCAACAGCAAACTAATGGTTAGAGGGGCGTGGCTAGACATATTTCAACCAATCAGTATCATCAGAGGAGGACTGCAGCTCCAGAACAGGTTTAGATGACAGATTAACAGATTATGTCAGAGGATTCATCTACACAGGTTAACTGCTCACTTTTACACTAATAAAAGTTAGATGTGATGCAGAATTTAGGGGGTTTACTGTCGTATTTATTTATCCATGAGCAGCACA